CCTTGTTATTAAGCAGGGTTACACCAAACCATTAAACAAGATGTATTCGATATAGAGTGCAGAGAGCTCAGCACCTCTGGATCCTGTCTCCTCTGTTTTTATTTCCTATAACGTTTATAATCCTTCCCTTCCAGCAAATAATTATCAACAATGCAGTTGGTACTGGTGAGACAGCAATGTCAAACAGTAGAAAACTAAATGATAGCATCTCGATAATGCAGGGGATGCTGTATGAGGCGAGACTGAGGGAACTGGGTCTCTTCAGCCTAGAGAAGAGGGGACTCAGAGGGGATCTGGTGGCGGCATACAGGTATGCCAGGGTGTGTCATGCGGAGGAGGGTAGAGGTCTGTTCTTCCCTGTAGATGAAGACGCTCAAACAGCAAAGCTCAGGGAATCCAGGTTCCCTTTAGATGCCAGGAAGTACTTCGTGAGAGTTTGGACCCCGAGGGTATGGAACGGGCTTCCACAGAAGGTGGTTCAGGCCGCAACATTGAGGGTGTTCAGAGATAGGCTAGACATGCCCATGGTGGGTATGTCCTGAACGAAGCCAGCTGGAGCCAGGGAACAGACTAGATGGCCCGGGAGACCCCCTTTTATTCACTCTGTTCTATGTTTCTATGTTTTCCTCCTCTGCCTCTGTGATATTCTACTTACTCCCATCACCTGGCAGAAGGAAAGTACCTGCAGGGGCTGAGGAATATGCCTTTCTCGAAAACCTTCTCCACTTTTCCCTGCATTGGAGAGAAGAACAAGCAAATACCATCTGGTCAAAACAAACCGGTGTCAGAAGCAAAGAACCAAAAAGGGGACCTCTCGCACCCACAGTTTCCTGTCCTCACACTGTTCCTCTGTGCCTGGGTTCCTGAAAGCCCAAGACGGAGAAGAAAAGAATGAAAAGGCAGGATGGGACTGAGAAACAGACTGAGAAAACTGAGCGGCAGGCGGGAGTGGTTGGAGAATGGAGCATAACAGACAAGATAAGCCCAGCTGTGCCCTCCAGAGAGAGAATGGAAGGTGAGAAGAGGGCCTGTGTTCAAGGTAAAGACCAGCACGTTCTTGTGTGTCCCACGGTTTTTACAGATGAGACCAGAGACCAGTCGGTATTTTTAAGAGGAATTTTTTTATTATTACCTGCGCAGGGACCAGCACTCTCACGGAAGGATGGGATGAGTGCGGGTCCCCATTAGAGGGACAGCGGTGTTTTTATACCTTGTTACAAACAAATGGAAAATTGTTATTGGCGGCCTGAGCGAGCTTAGCATGATACAGAAGCGAGACAGTTTGCGGTTAGTCTATATTTTGATACAGAAGCGGAGCGGTTTGCAGTTAGCCTATCCTTTTAAGTTTTACGCCTTTGACAAAACTTGCCCATTTTCTGAAGTAACACTCTGTATATGCCTGGGGCAACTGATAAACCTCCTATTAGGCTAACTCAATACACAAAGCCTTCTATTATGCTAACTTAATACACAGCTGATAACATGCTGTTATGCTGATCTTGAGCCAGGTGGGTCAAGCCTAACATTCTCTACTGGTCTTCAGGAAAATCAAATCGTTGATTTAGAAGTAGGGAGAGGTTGATAGCCGTCCAACCCTAATTGTGTCCTGGTATGGGGCAAACCCAGGTGGACCCCAGACCTGAGCCAAACATTTTATACCCTCGGTAACCAATTAGGTCACCTAATACACATCTAATGCATCGGTACATCAATTTATGCACCCCCTCCTGTGCTGGAGAAAAACTCCTTTCTTCTGTCAAGGACCAGACATTTCCCATGTCTGTTTCTTATCTGCTCGAGATTCACACAGGCTTGCCATGTTCTTACTCCCTGCACATTTGCAACTTTCATGGTGGCTAAAACCAGTTCCCACTGTCCCTTTGACTGCTGTATTCGAGGTCAGGCCAGCATTTTAGCTGTGGGTTACACAAAGTTCATTTTGTTCTTATCCCCCCTCCCTTCTGGGACAATATAATTGTGGTGTTTTGTTTTGTTTTGTTTGTTTTTATTATGTGGCCTTCCTCTGGCCAACTACTTTTGAAGTGTTTTGGGGTGCTGCAATTGGTAACACCACACAATCATGCTCTTACTCCAAGTCTCAACTGCCTCTATCAAGAAATCTACAGGATTCACACCTCCTCCAGTAGTCAAAATCAAATCTAGTTGATTCATCAATACAGCCTCATACTTAATAAGTCAGGAGTCAATTAACCACTTTCCAGCCCTGGTGGCTAACAGAGCTTGCACTGGGTGTGCCGCTGTTACCACCAAAGCTTCCCCAGTGGCTAATTTCCTGGCTTCGTCCACCAATAGGGCTGTGGCTGCACAGGCTGTTTCCTCCATCCTTTTAATGCCAGCCGTCTCTTTGACTCCCCTTCCCCAGTAAATACTGGAGTAGCAAATAAAAAATGCTCCTGTTCACCATAGCCTCATAAACTTTTCCTTTTAGTTCTCCCTCCATAGGGCACCTGAGCCCTTCAAGAGGAGATGTGCAGCATCATTTGCACATCATTACAAGTTGAGTGATAAAACATAGAAACAAAGTGAGTTAGAAAGGGGTCCTCCTCTGGTCATCTAGTCTGACCCCCTGTTTCACTGAACTCTGTTCCTATAATCCGCAACATGTGGTTGTCCAAACGTCTTCACTCATGGGCCTCAACCACCTCCCATGAAACCCATCCCATTTTCTGGGGGTTCCTGACCCTCAGAGATTATCTTCTAAAATTTAACCTGAAACCTAGTTCCTGGAGTTTTGTTTAATTCGAATACATTCTGCCCTTCTGGTATTAGTGCAATTAGTGCTTTGAAACAAACTTATCACCTTTTCAGAATCCTCTGGACAAACTAGGATTCTGATTCTTTTAATTATACAACCCAGAGATGGCAAATGGTTGTTAAACACACACAAAAACATAAACACAAACCCCGGCAGAACCTGTCACAGTGGCATCTGCCCTGTCTTGCTGTTAAATTATGGCCTGCTCACTTTCGAGTCCAATGCAATTAATTCTTGCAGGGAGAGGCATAATGCCCCCCCCATCTTTTTCTTTCCACAAAGTGTTCAATTTTCCTTCCAGGCCTCACAAGCACCAGCTGCCTGTTGTTTTAGAGATAAATCAGAATCGGTCCTCCTCATTAGCTTCGTCTTTACCTCCAATGCAACACCTTTTACCAAAAATCCCAGTCCAGCTAGGAGAGCTCTCCCTGCCAAGTTACAAATTTGCTCCCACAGTACAAAATCACACAACGGTTTCACCATGCTCATGTTTTACCTGAGCAGGTTCAAATATTTTCACTTTTACCAGATTACCTCCCACTCCTTGAGTAATCAATTCCCCTTTTCCCCAATTGCATTCCATTTGGAATCATATTCATTGTGGAGCAGGTAGCTCCAGAGCCTACCATAAATACCATGTCTTTCTCAAATGGTTCCACTTTCAAATTTATTAAAGGTTTCCAGTGGGTCCTCCTATGAGGAGACCCCTGACCTTCCTAATCTTTGTCCATATTAATGAAAGAAATCAACCTCTCCCCTCCCCACAGCTCTCATTTAAAGTACCCAACTTTTCCACACTAATAGCATCCTGCACTTGATCCTTCATTCATTCACCACACCTTAGGTGTGGGCTGAAATCTTCTTCCTCGACCTCATCCTCTACCTGACTTACTCCCATTTCTTCTCTTGCCACTACATTCCATCCTTTGAGTCCATTTTTCCTCATCCTCTCTCCTTGCATACACTTTCTGTGCCTCTCTCAACAAACCTTCCAACGTCCTTGCCTCTCTTCCATCTAACACCTGCAACTTCTGTTCTGCCTAATATCCTCCCCTGCCTTGCTGAGGTAGCCCTACAAAACAGAAGGGGTCTCGACTTGCTCTTACTAAAGCAAGGGAATCTAACGACTGTTCTAAAAACTTGATGGAGCCATGGAGCTCCTGCAAGTCTTTGTCCACTTGTTCAGACAGGTGAAATATGTCCGGACTTCCCTTGGCCTTCCCCCTCCAACCAGGTCGCGAATGTCTCGCATCCCCATTGAGCGCAATAGAAGAAACTATCGTCTCTGCATTCGGGACTGCCGTCCGATGGGCAGCCGTAATACCCCTCAGCCCTTTAACTCTTTCCCAACCTTTCACTCCCGCACCCATACCCCCTCTGTCCTACCCGACCCCCTTTGGCTGCTGCTGACGTTTTAGGGTTGTTCCATTGGGGGCAAGCAGTTGGCAGAGGTCTATCCGAAAAACAGGAGAGGGGTCGTGGATGTGAGTCAGAATGGTCGCCACTGGCGGGGGATTCTGTCGTATGCCATAAGAGGAGAGGTCTGTCCGCAAAGTCCACTTCACCTGCATCGGCTGGTGTGGATTCTTCCATTTTTCTGAATGTTCTGGCGAGGCAGGCTTGATCTGCGTCACGTGGAAGCAATGGGGTTTTTCAGCCAATCTTACCACCGTGGGAGTAGAGAGGATCACCTGGTAAGGCCCCTGCCACTGGGCGCCTAAAGTAACGGGGTGAAAGTTCTTTAATCAGACTCAATCACCCGGGTTTTATTGGAGAGGGAGGGTCAGGCACGTGGTTCGTGGCCCCAGTGTCGGCACTGGGCTGGATCTCCTGGCGGATCTCCCCACGGACTCGGTCAAGCGCCTGTAAGGACTCAAGCAGGGCTCGGTTAGATAGTTCGGCCCGCACCTCCTCTGCGAGGCGGAGAATCAAAAAGGGGGGGGGGGAACGCCCAAACAGTATCCCAAAGGGAGTGAACCCTTTCCTGTAAGGGGGACATCACGTTCGCAGAAGGGCAAAGGGAAGGAGATCTACCCAGTGACTGCCCACTTCGATTGTATATTTTGTCAAAGTTTCCTTTAAAGTCCTATTCATCCTTTCCACCTGCCCTGAACTCTGTGGTCGATAGACACAATGCAGTTTTCAATCAATTCCTAAAGCCTTAGCTACCAGTTTGGAAGTTTGGGCGATAAACGCCGGGCCATTTTCGGACCCCAGAGCTAGGGGAGACCAAATCGGGGTATTACCTGGTGTAGTAGAGTCCGGGCAACAATTATTGCCATCTCCCCCTTTCTACCCACTTCTGGCTTCTACCCACCCAGATTGGGTGTCCACGAAAACCAAAAGGTACCGGTACTTGCCTTGGGTTGGTTTTATTTTGGTGAAATCAAGTTCCCAGTGGTCACCTGGTTGCTGCCCCCGCCGTCGGGTGCCCTGAGCAGTGGAGGGCTGGCTGGCGCCTGCGTTAACTTGGGCACACGTGGCACACCTGGAGGTTATGGAATCGGCCAGAGTTGATAGTCCGGGCAGATAGAAATGGGGGCAGAACAGTTGGCAGAGTCGGGTGTAGCCTGATGGTGTTGTAACCCCCCTCACAATCGAACACACAGCCAGGGCATGGCTTGTCACGGGTAAAAAGCATGGTCAGGGTGTCCTGTTCACGTGAGAACAAGAACAAGAACGAATGTGCACGCTATGCAAGGATGAAAACAAAAGCCCAAGCATAACCGCAGACGTTACGCCCTTGTACCCTCGCTTGCTTTAGCATGATAAATGTGCAAATGGGGCTCAGTGGCTTTCCCCTATTGTTCGCTGTTATTCAAGCATAGTTGTAAAAGAGTATAAAAACGCTACCTTCCTTCTGCTCGAGACCGCACTCCAACGAGTGTTTGGTCCCTGCAGGGAATAAACCTCTTCTCTCGAAAATTCCAACTGGTCTCTGGTCTCATCAGTAAAACCGTGGGACACAACATTTGGAGGCCCCAGCAAGATCTTGAGACTATCAGTCTGGCCTCCCACCGACACCAGGGATGGGCCCGTAGGCATCTTATGCCTCTACCCCGGCTCGGTGGGACGTCTGACTAGCCGAGAGAGGAGTAATCGGTAAGTGCGCACGGCGATTACCCGCCATCTGTTCTGTTCTGAATATCTGCAGATCTAGTATTGGAAAGAAAGGCCTGCTGGACGCAGTGTACGGGCCACTTTCCGGTCTGGGGGCGAGACGTCATTCCCCGGCCTCAGTTCCTGTTTAGGTTGTTTTTTTGTTTAGATTGTCTGTTTTGTCTTCTGTCTTGTTGATGTTTTGTCGTCTGTCTTGTTGGACTGACACTTGGAATTCTCAGTATGGTTTATGTCCCGTTCTATTGTTGCTGTCTGTGTTTTCTGTCTTGTCTGTTTGTATTGTAAAGTGCTCCCCTTTCTGGGAGGTAAGCATAGTCCAGAGTGGGTTCTGGGGTTCCTCAGGAAATAGAAGCTCCCCACGCAGCCGCACCAATCTGTCCTCTTCAGGGCATGGTTGAAAGCAAGGGTGTGGATGAGTGTTCGCGCCCCTGAGATGAGAGCGTGTGTTAACCTGGCTTTGATTGAGAAAGATTCATGAGGTCATTTGCCTGAGCCCAAGCATGCCTGAGTCCGGCTGGGAAAAAGGGGATGATCAGGGAATGTGTGTGTGGGATTTTTTCCTTCCCCCATTCCTTGTATATGAGCCAGAACTGGGAAGTAAGGAAATGTGTGGCCCTTGAATTGGGCTTGCAAACACAGGTCCTACCCAGTTTTCTGCACATGCTCAATAAGCTTATCCTGTGTGAAAGCCCTTTGTGCAAGAGGGGTTATATAGAACTGGATGTTGTGTGTATGCCATGTGAGAATGAGAGTGACAGGAATTCCTTGATTCAGGGGGTGCACGGTGCTTGGTATGTGAGAGAATTTTAAGAGTTTTGGTAAATGGTGATTTGGTACTTTTTCTACTGGAAAAAAATATGGGAAGAAATGTGTAACTTTTGGAGTAAAGACAAGAAAAACACATGAAAAAAAAAAGAGGAATAGTCTACCTTGCTAAGAGCACTCCCATTATTTAAAGAGACAGTAACTGCAGCCTCTTCTCTGGATTCGGTCTGGCCAACTGAATTCAGGAGGGATTTGTGCTGGAAAATTTGGATTTCTTGACTCTGTGGGCTTGGCTATTCCACAGAGCCAAGAAAAGGGGGGATGCTCTGGCAGGAAGATACCACAAACACCACTTTGTGAGTACTGCAAAAGCAGCACACAGCCTCTGAGCATGTGCAGAGTTCAAAATACTTTGGGAAGTTTGAGCAGCTCCACTTCCAGCCACAGATTGGAGGAGGGCTTGCACTAGTTCTCAAAGAAAGTCTTTGAGTCTCTAGTCCTCTCCTCTCAAAGGAAATCTTGGTGTCTTGAAAATAAATAAAAGTTGTGTAACTGAGGTAAGGCATTTGAGGTCCTCTGAGTGTTCAAAGCTTGTATTGCCTCAGGAAAAATTCTGCCTGGGAAGGGTTGGGTTAAAACAAAGGCCCTTAAGCACTCTCAATGAGTCACTAGGGGATTTTTTAGGAAGGGAATCCTTCCAAAAAGCAATGTTGTGAGCATGTGATTTGTGTCAGCCATCAAGAGTTTTCCCTCTCCAATAACTTCTATTTTTCTATGCAACATGGATCTGGGTCTTATATATGTGTGTGGGTATAGGTTCTGAATTCTGAGTATACCATTTTGTTATTTTGCTATGTTACCACTGAAGGATTGGGAGGGAATGGATGAAACTCTGGGGCTGTGTATGTGTGTGCATGCATGCTCATGTAGT